ATCCTACGCGCACACGGGCCTGGCTCGTGCCACGTGGTGACACTTTAGCACCGGTTTGTGGCAAACCGGTACTAAAGGGGGGGACCTTTAGTTCCCACTCTTTAGTGCCGGTTGCCGGACCGGCACTAAAGGCCGGTTCTGCACTAGTGGTAGCTATCTAGTTAACAAAGTGATGATAAATCGGGGGCTTGGAGTTAGGACGAAAAAGTTGCAAGTTGAAAATTACAAATTTGCCATACACTAAATGTACTAACATCTAGCAAACATCCTCAACGAACACACACATGACAAATCTGCATTCTGCATGCACAAAGAATTTGCCTAGTGCCTCCCAATGCCCACGGTGCAGCTGGTTGCCACTCTGTGCCGCCCCAAATGGGGGGAAACTGACGGGGATGGAAGAAGACTGGTCGAGCTAGAGGAAGTACTAACGACAGCCGCCGCCACCGCACAGGAGAGCGTGGTTGGGGGGGGGGCATGGAGAAGTGAAGAGTTGAGGACACCAAAATTTCTTTTCGAAGAAGAGCAGCGGCATTGGGATGAAGCTTTTTGAAGGGAAATGTGGTCATCAAAGACAAGATCATGGGAGATATAAACATGACCACTAGCAACATCAAGACACTTGACCTCCTTGTGTGGCACACTATAGCCAATAAAGACACACTGCTTGGATCGAAACGTGAATTTTGGGTTGTAAGGATGAACATCGGGCAACAAGCACAACCAAAAACACGGAGTGTGGCATAATCTGGTTTGATGTGGAGAGTACATTATGTGGGAGTTTCATTTTTTATGACACAACTAGGCAAAATATGGATAAGATGAACAGCAGTAACGAAAGATTCATCCCAAAATTTTAATGACATGGACGCGGCTGCAAGGAGTGTGAGGCCTATTTCAACAATATGTTTATGCTTTCATTCTGCTGAACCATTTTGTTGGTGGGCAAGTTGGCTTGACACATGATGGGAAATACATACCTTTTAAAAAAAGGGTTTAACATTCGTATTCGCCACCCTTGTCGAGTTGCAAGACAATTAATTTTTTATCAAATTTGCGTTTGACAAGTGGTTGGAAATTAAGAAACACTTGAAAAATGTCACAATGTTACTTAGGATAGATCCAAGTGTATTTACTATAGTCATCAATAAATGTCACGTGGTATGCATGTCTACGAACAGAGGAAGGGGCTGATCCCCAAACATCAGGAAAAATGACTTGCAAGGGTTTAATAGACACACTATTAGAAACTATATATGGTAATTGATGACTTTTTGCTCCATGGCAAGAATCACAAATAGTTTCACAATCACGCTCACCAACAAATGTGAGCTTATTTTACTAAGAACATGATGAACAATGGAAATAGATAGGTGGACTAAACGGTTATGCTACCTTTATGAAGACACTTTGGTGGCTCCACACACTTGTTTATTGAATTTGCAAAACTTGGGAATCAACTGATCGAGACCATGCATGCATATCTACCGTGGTAAAGAACCTTCTTCGTTGCCTCATCCTTGATAAAAAAGAAAATGGGTGAAATTCTATGAAGACACCATTAGCAAGGGTAATGCGATGAACAGAAAGAAGATTTTCTGATGCATTTTCAACATGTAAAACATCATTGAGAAGGATAATACGATACGTGGTTTTAATAACAGACTGACCAAAATGAGTTATCATGATACCTGAACCATTTTGTGTGTTGTGAAGTTGTTCTTGGCCAAGGTACTTCTCATGCATGGTCATCTTTGCTACATCGGAGGTGATGTTCTCATTGGCACTGGTGTAGGCGTACCAATTTGAGTCAACTCCATAAGAGGAATCTGCTGCACCTGCAACTCTTTGCTTTTGGAATTGTCGTCCGCATAGCGCCAGAGAAATTCCTTTGATAGATGGTTAGTTTATTTCTTTTACATATTTAGCATTTGTTTTCATACACTTCATCACCTGCAAAGTGGCCACCTCCAGCTCCTTGGCGCCCTCTGCTATTGGAGAAGAAGGGGTGCTGTCGTTGCCACTACCACTGCCACCACGATCCACTACCACCCTTGGACAAGTTGTGTTAGCCCTTGGGGGCCGTTTTGACCACGAGAGACCGTGTTGTCGGAGGACTTGAAGGCACCAGCGCCTGATCCATGAAACATCTCAACTCGTTGATCAAAATTTGACAACTTGACAAAGCTGGCGAAGATGAAGGAGACCAATTCATCTCTAGAGATTGGTTTCCCAGCCACCTCAAGCTCATCAGCGAGGGATGGCATCTGACCAAAGAATAAGGCGGCTATTGGGGAGCCTTTCTGGGCGCTGGAGAGGGTTGAGCGGCAGTTGCTTTCGTGGGACCTGGATTAGGCAACCAACATGCCCGCAAGGGCCGACCAGATGGAATGCGATTTTTCGATCAAAGCAACCTGCACCAGTATTAACTTAGAAATATTACGGTTTACGTAGCAGGTAGGCTACGATCTGTTGGTCTTGGATCAACCAAGGGCTCTAGGCAGCGTTAGGAATGATCTGATACTTTCCTTTTGGAAGTGATGGTGGAAGGTGATTCAACAATTGTTGGTGCGGGTAAGTGGCGTGGTGCCTCACCTTACCCGCACCAACTATATCTGATTACGAGCCCAAGCTCGTCCCAGGTCATGAGGGCAGTGGTGAGGATGAAAGTAAGATGAGGCGGAAGAGGGAGGCTCTGATAACATGTTAAATTATCCGAAGCGTCTCAATCCTCATACGCGATAGCCCGCGTTGTATATATTGATTGTAGTGTGAGATAGATCTCATGGGAATACATAATTTGGTTGGAGAGTCAACCGTGAGAGAATTACAAGGAGGAGATAAGAGAGAGTAAAGATAAAGGAAAATTATCTCCTAACTACTCCTTGCTTAACCCTTGGCATCCTCTATTCAGTTTGGCAGTTTGCATCTCTTCAGTTAAACTAACATTTCCATAAAAATGCCAAAAGAAAGTTTAAATCTTTTTACTGCGGTGAACATTTGCATCAAGGCCGGGCTTGCTTGATGCATGATAGAGTTTTTATTATACTGTATGATTCACAAGCGCAACGACCGACCCGACACAAACAGATTGGCCAGCAAACACTGTCCTTGAGATGGCATGTAGCTATATACTGTATAAACTAAGTTTGTGTCATCAGCATATTCACAGAGATGATGCCCTTTTAGCGTCACGAGGCCCCGTTGGAACTTAGCAGAGGAGTCTATATACGGCATCCACCCGTTAGAATAATGGACCTAGGGCCTAGGGCCACCAAACACTACTAAATGAGTCACTTGTGTAAGCATCACCATATGCAACCATATGTTATGCTGATGGCCAATTACCAAAACGGTAGTAATTTCTCTATCTATCTAGCTAGCTAGCTTGTTTTTGTTCCCATCTGCCTCTTCATACCAACGGATCGGCCACTCGGAATCCACACTCGTCTATATATACATCGCCTTCGACTGTTCGTTTATTCATCTCCAATTCCTTGAGAAGTAAGATCGATCGAGTAGAAGAGAAGTAGAAGAACTGCTAGCTAAGCCAGGAGAGATGGTGGCAATGGAAGGAGCTGTGGGTGCGTGGGCATGGTGGCTGGGCCTCCTGTTCGGCGCCGTCCCGCTGCTCTGCCTTGCCCTGTGGCACTCCACCGACACATGGCACTGCGCTGCCTTTGCTCTCAGATACCGCGGCCGTGGGAGCAATGGCATCCGGCAGCGCCTCCCGCCAGGCCACATGGGGGTCCCCTTTCTCGGCGAGACGCTCTCGCTGCTATGGTACTTCAAGCTGGCCCGCCGCCCGGACGACTTCATCGGTGCAAAGAAGAGCGCGTACGGCAGCGCGGCGGGGATGTACAGGACGCATCTGTTCGGCTCCCCCAGCATCATCGCCTGCTCGCCGGCGGCCAACAAGTTCGTGCTCCAGTCCGCCGAATGCTTCGGCATCAAGTACCCGGTGCCGGAGCTCATCGGCACCATGTCTGTGGCGAACAAGAATGGCGCCAGCCACGCCAGGCTCCGCGGGTTCATCCTCGCCGCCATCAACCGGCCCAGCTCGCTCCAGACCATCACCACCGTCGTGCAGCCTCACGTCGTGGCCGCGCTGCGAGACTGGGCGGATAAGGGTACCATTGTGGCCGCCAAGGAGATAAAAAAGGTAATCAACTGATAAATTGAATCATGCATGTGTGTTGTTTCAAATCACAATACTTTATTAAGACTTGGCAAAACATTGTTGGCTGCTTTTTTTCTCTACTGTACCAAGGGTTATGAAATGTCGGTCAAATCACTTTTTCCCCAAAAGTTTCACCGGTGTGGCTAAAGTTGTCATCCGAAAAAAAATATATATTAAAATTAGCTATCCGAAAAGAATTTGTCATTCGGTGTTGCCATGTGTTCACATCACAGCTGTGACACTTATGATAGTCCCTTTTTTATTTTGTGTTTATTCCAGTTGTACTGTTTTTATACAGTTGTATGTTTTTTTATTCAATCGCACATTGTTATTTTTGCTGCAGTGGCACTTCCTCTTTAATTTTGAGTTGTTGTTCAAATTGCACTTTTTAATGCAATTCTACTCCATTTTTCTAGTTTAAATTGAACGTTTGTCTGTGCCATAACTTTTTTGTTTGTGCAATTGTACTTCCAAGAGGAGTGCAAAAACTGGCTGGAAATCTGAAAATTGTTATTCACCATGGGCTACAAATATGTTCTATTGTGTTTAAAATTTTAATTCATTGTAGAAAACTAGTACTAATAAAGAGGCAAAACCTAGTTGAACATTTGCGCAGAAAAACTGGTTGGGCAAACAATATCATCATAATTAATCCAGTGCAATAATACTAAACTCAAGCTTGATTAATCAATGGTTGCAGGTGACTTTTGCCAACATCTGCAAGATGTTCATAAGCATGGAGCCGTCGCCTTTAACAGACAAGATTGATATGTGGTTCGGCAAATTGCTTGATGGTCTACGGGCATTCCCCTTTGATATTCCAGGGACAGCATCTCACACTGCACGAAAGGTATTTTGTTT